CTTAGATTTGACACATAACAAGGAAAGTCTAGCCCCACTAATCTGAAGCTCAACCTCTTCCCTGCCTCAAATGTTGGGCTAAGGTGTCACCTCTAGGCATCATCCTATCTTAGCATATTAAGATTCTATAAGTTAATATTCCCCTCCTATTTAAATTTGCCCTAAAGGAATCTCTGGAGATAATTTAAGATAAACAATCTTTATCAATTGTATTTTAACCATGTCTAAAGAATGTGTATTTTATCAATGTCCTTCAGATCAATTGAAAAATGCTGTGCAAAGGAAATTGTTTAAAGGAATGTTTGTCTTTCCCTGTTATTGATGGAATTACAACACATATAATTCTTCCAAGGCCCTGACATTTTCCAACATTTTAAAAAATGTTCAAAAGCATTACATAACATTGTATTGTCTCAAAACAAACACAAAAATACCCAGATATTTCCCTGTTGGGGAAAAATGACATTCCACAACTAAAATAGACAAATTCCTACCAAAGTGTATGCAAATCTTATCCGCACTCATGAACCTCTCATCTATACCCTCCTGCTCTTCACACTCCCTGTCAACAACAAATGAGCAAGTGTTTCTATTTGGCACATCTCAGTGTAGATAACAGCTTAGTATATTTGCATGGCTGTGTAATATGGTGCTCAGAGACTGGAGCCATATGGCTACATATATTTTGGATTAATATGACTTCTTTATTCATCAAAAGTTTTATTAGTATAAAAAATCTTTCATTAGTGCTTGTAATATTCCATACCATGAACTTATGAGTGTGTGATACTAATGTACACACACTAGTCTCATTGTATAATATTAGCGCATCTTACCCATGTTGTTATTTTCAATTATTTAAAATCATTATATTAAAATGAATCTCTTATATAGAGTAGAATTGAGAAAAGCATGATTACAAGGCTACTCTCAAATTTTAACAGTAAAGGTTTATATTAACATCATTATAAATAATCCATGTTGTATTCATGCCACAATGGTACAGTTGCATAATTGAAACAACCAGCTAAAGTATTCACAGTCCAAACCTTTAAGAAAAGTTCATCCATGTTAAGCCAAATGAACCCCAAGATAGGGACACAAGTGTTTTTTTTCTTTCTTGCTATTGTTTTTAATGTATCTAAAATGTACTATGTGATTTTTTTGTTTCTTTTGAATGGTCTTTCCCCATGGTATAACCACTGTTTTCACTTTATTTGATGTCAGTGCCCTGCATCTTGTATATACATTTTTCTAATTTGGGGAGGGGAAGGGAAATAACAAAATGCTGAAACAAGGATACATTGTAACAATGAGATGTACATGACACTGTGTTGAAAACGAACTTAACAATTTGGGCGGGGAGGGAGAGAGTATAGTGGTGGAAGTGGGAGGGAAGGGATGGTCGGGAAACACAAAGGAGGAGGCAACAATGCTGGATAGGAAATGTACTCATTACCTTGCTCATGAAACTGTAACCCTTCTGTACAGTATCTTTACAATAAAAGTATAAATAAAAATATATAAATAAAATATAAATAATATAAATAAAAATATATATTAAAAATAACTTCATCCACCTCAGGTATAGAGCATTTACTTGAGTTTTTCTTGCTCAGTATAGTTGAACAATATCTGTCTTTATACATAAATATATAACATATACTATGTATATATAAAAATTATAATCTAAAAACTCTCCAAAATCTGAAATGTTTTAGACAGACATAGTCTCACTCGTAGGAAATTCCACATCATGAAATTTTTCTTAATGCAAAAAATATTTTAATGTTATATAAAATTATCTTCAGGCTATATGTTTAAGGTATATAGGAAACATGTGAATATTGTGTTTAGATTCAGCCCCTCACCCTGAATAGCTCATTCTATCTACAAATATTATGAAGGCAGAAAAAGATACCATATTCAAAATACTTCCATTTGAATGTATTTAAGTATAGTTTTGTGTGAGAGAATAGAACACAAAATCAAGTATCTACTGCTTTATGCTCCCCGGCAGGCACCCAGAGACTCCAGCCACACCTCGAACCCTCTATTTTAATTTTTAATAGTCTTTTATATTAGCCACATATATACAATCAGTATTGTCTTAATTTGTTTCTTATATCTGAGTTTCTATTTGATATAATTTCTTATCATCCAATAAGCTTCTTAACACATACTTTAAGAAGCTACATTGGTAATAATTTTCTCGTTTTGTTTCCTTTAATTTGCTATGTATTTTTTTCTTTAATTACAGTATTTCTTCACTGGCTGTGAAAGTCTGGATTGAAGTTTTAATTTCAGAATTTTAGAGATACTAATTCTATCTAGCCTGCATTTTTTTCTGATAAAATAACATCTATCTTATGTCCTTGTTCTACTAAGCATGTTAGGTGGCTACTTATATTTGCTTTTGTTTTTCTGTTTAAGGATGTTTGACAATTTATTTTTTTATGTTTTTTTATTGTAAAAATAGCGTACAGAGGAGTTACAGTTACATGAGTAAGGTAATGAATGAGTACATTTCCTATCGAGCATTGTTACCTCCTTTGTTTGACAATTTAAGAAAATTATCTTTAATTAGTTGTACAATGGGGTTTCAATTCAACTTGCCAATTTTTCAGTGCTATCTATTGTAAATTAATCCCACATCTTCTGAACCTTTTTTGGATGGCAAGTCAATAGAGTTCCTCAAGTCTGAAAATTTTTTCTTGTGTGTTTTTTTACATCTATATTTTGTTCCGTTTTATTTTCTTTTCCTGTGGCACTTCAGGTACACATATGTTAGACTGATGTATATTGTCAGTTTTGTACTGCAAATCTGTAAAGGTTTATTCTTTTTTTGCCATCTTCTGCTTGTTTTTCAGAATGCATAGTTTATATTTTTGTCTGTAAAGTCACTGTAGCTTTTCTCTGTCATTCTTGGACTGTGCAGGTGATTAGTGAATTGTTTGTTTTCAATAATGCAGCCTTCAGCTTTGATTTTGTTTACATTTTTTGCTTTTTTCTATTTTTGCACATTTCCTCTTTTTTCTTTTATTGTAAAGGTGATGTACAAAGAGGTTACAGTTACATATGTAAGGAAATGAGTACATATTGTTATCTCCTCCCTTGTTTTCTCCCACTTTCCTGGCTCCCTCACTCACCTTCCTGCCCTCAAATTGTAAAGATCATTTTCAACATAGTATCTTGTGAGTATCACTTGCATTGGTTCCCCCTTTGATCCACCCTGTCTGTGATTCCCCTTCCCTTCTCCAAATCAGATAAAATTTATATACAAGACAAGTGGTGCTGAAATAAAAAACAGTGGACACAGGGAATAAACCAGAGGAGAGAAACAAAAAGAAATAACTGCAAACAGTACAAAACAAAGCAAAAAAAAACCCTCTTGTTTCTATATCTTGGACTTCATTTCAATTTAATTTTATATGGTCATATAATAATAGCTATTGAGTTATTGTGAGCCTCTGCTAGGACTATCTTAGTCATGTATGGCCACAAAAGAACTGCAATTTAAAACTACATTGAGATTTTATCTTGCCCCAACTAGAATGGCTATTATCAAGAAAACAAATATAACAGATGTTGCAAGGATGTGCCCAAAAGGGACCACTACTTACCGTTGATGGGAATGTAAACTGGTTCAACCCTTCTGGATAATGATATGGAGGTTCCTCAAAAGACTAAATATAGAGTTTTCCTATAACCTAGCAATTCCAAACCTGGACATTTATCTAATTGACCAAAAACAAGGCCACAGTAAAGCTACCAGCACAACTATGTTCATTGCAGCATTATTTACCATTGCTAAGATACAGAATCAACCTAGATGGCTCTCAGTAGATGAATGGATCACAATGCAATTCTATGTTTCCATAAGAAAGAATGACATCACCTCATTGATAAGGAAATGGAAAGACTTGGAAAAGCTTATATTAAAGTAAGCCAGATTCAAAGAAACATAGGCTCATGGTTTCTCTCATTTATTTATTTATTTTTGGCTGCAGAGATTGCCATCTGCTTTCCCATTGTTACTATATTTTCTTCTCAGTCATTAGTTGGGCATTAAGATAATTGATTTAAAGTTTTAACTTTCTAAGTCCAAAGGCTATGTCATATAAATATCTTCTTGTTTTCTGTGATGTGATATGTTGAATAATATTTTGTAGAGTCTAGATGCTGCATCATCCTTCTAGAAGAAGATGCCTTTTTCTTATTTTTCCTAATTAGGTCACTAACTGTCACTTTGATCTCCTGAAAGTTAATTTTACATTGTGTATCTGCCTTAGGATGAATGTTAAGTATTGACATATGGTTTTGATTCAACTTTTATGAGCTTTTAATATGATGACTGATGTGTCTTAATAAAGTTCAACTTAAAATTCTGTCTCTTCTGTGTGGGTTGTAGCTAAAATGCTGTCATGTTTTTGGTTTTTAAGTCTTTTCTAGAGAATATAATTTGAGATCCATCATGGCAGGATCGTTCTAATTTTATGTGTCCATGTGGCCATTACCTTGAGCCTCTGCAACTTGTTTGTAATATCTTCTGTCAAGCAGCATACATAAACATGGCCAGAGGGCATTGGCCTCAGCTGGGGCATGTTAGAGAGAATGCAAATGGAAAAAGTCTTAATTAAACGCCTCCAGAATATTTTTGTAGATAATGTTGGCCCAGAATGAATATGCTCATTATATCAATTGATAATAACTATTTCCCTGAATGTAGAGAGAAAATAACCCAAGTGAAACCATAATATAGCAAAGCACATAAAATTTCCAAAATAATTTGTTTTTTCCTCCTAACATATATTGAATGCACCCCTTCTAACACATTGTTGTTAATGGAAATATATTTTTATTCATCAATACTCAGAGATGGGGACTTGCTCACTGAGTCTTTAGCCTTTTGTCCTTATTTTCCAGAGTTATAGTAGTTTGATCTTTAACATTTTCAACTTATTTATCTATATGATGATACTTGTTTCATTTCCATATAGGACTGCGTCAAAACATGTAAACAAAGACCTTGGAAATATGGAGGAAAACAAAAAGTTGGAAGAAAACAATCATAAAACAGAAGCTTAAGAGAAATGATTCCTGTTGTCCAGGTGAGTGGGCTGGACAGAATTTATAGATGATAATGTACAAGAGTGAAGAATCACTTTGAAGATGACAGGGCAAGGTTTTACTTTTGACTGCTTCATAATTACAGCTTCCAAAATAGGAAGAAAGTTTTTAAAAAGGGAATGTAGATGACTCAGACAGTGATCTCAAAAAACTAGAATCTCACCAGTCCTCTCAGATTCCCGCAAATAATCATTATTCTCTAAGTAATAAAAATCATTCTTTTCCAGATTTTAACATATAATTTGCAATTTGTTTTCTAATGCCAAAAGTTTTGCTCAGGATGAAGAAGCCTTATTTTATTATGTTGGTAGTTGGGTTCAATAAGTTGCGGCTCTAAGATTATATTCAGAACAATTTAGAATACATTTAAAATATTAATATTTTAATTGAAGAATATAATATAACTGTGAGTATATTTATACAGCTGTCTTTCAAATCATTTTTAATGTAAAGGCTGACAAAGTAATGTATGTGAACACACTTTATAGACCACATACGTATATATGTGTGTGTATATATTTGTGTGCAAGTGTCTGTATGTACATATATTTATGTGTGCATAATGTATATGTCAACAATGATCTATTGACTATGTTTATATATTAGATATAGTTGTGTGGCTTTTGAGACAGTCTCAGAAAGGAGTCTGATTCCATGGTATTGCCACTTGCATTCAAGTTTTTGCATTTTGTGTTCCCTTGAAGCCAACCAAACAAGGATGCATTTGGACTGTTGTTTTCTGTGTCCTTGAGAATAATTTTAACTTTGACTTACTAGTAAGATGTTTAAAAAAAAGACTTACTGTAAACCTTATGGGTGTAATTGGTGAACTGCAAATCACAATCTGAGTGGGTCACAGAAGTTGAGGCTCATTATGAGGACAGAGGCTATAGGAAAGAATTAGGAAAAGGGTTCATGAGAGAGAAAGAGAGATTGGAATGCCAGCAAGTTTTAAAACCTGGAAACCAAGATTTCAAATGGATTGGGAAAAAGAATAAGAGCTTGAATTCTTCTCCTGTCCTCCTGTACACTGAAGGCCAAGCATGTAGCATTCTCACATTTACTTTCCCCACTACCTTTGAGTTCTTTCCTTAGTGTGTAAACATAGATTTTACCTTCTGTTTTCTTCAAAACTGAGTTGAGTTCCATCTTAGAAGAAACGTGAACCCAAAGACAAATACTGCAAACAAACTGATTTGCAAGGATGGATGCATTTTACACTTGAAGAGGAATGGAATGAAATGTTTTCTTATGGATTAAGCATTACAAAAGAAAGCCTTTTGGCAACTCCGGAAAAAAAGTAATATGTATGGAAGGAATATAGCAATGATTGGGGATATAGGCTCAGGGACAATGGAGTTTTATGAATGATTCTTCTCAGGAAGTAATTCTGTCACTTAATACAAAACATCTGTGGTTGGTGGAAAACGATTGCTATGGTAACTTATCTAAATTGTTTTTTTCATCATTTCAGAGAAAAAAACCCATATAAACCAATTGAAGCATGAACATGGATTGTATTTAAGACATAAAGACATTGACAGCAATTCATGGTTCAAGTATTAAGCAGTTCATTCTACCAAGCTGTCACGGGATTTTAGAGAATTATCTCAAGTTAAACAATGAAAAGAAATTACAAAATTTGGCAGCCATGATAATAGGTCATATATTGTGTTTGGTTTGAATTTTTTTCTGTAAATGTCTGCACTGAGGATTTCATTTTGGTTTGCCTTTATGTAAATTTTTTACGTAGCTATTTTTATACACTGTAAGCTTTGTTCTGGGAATTGCTGTTAATCTGATGTATAATGTAATGTTTTTATTTCAATTGTTTATACGGATAATCTAAGCAGGTACATTTCTGATTCTGATTGCTATCAATAATTTCCCCAAACTTATTCACAGGTACCTAAAACCCAAAGGTGGCAGCTTATGAGCATTGGGGACACACACATTGCCCTATTCAAAACTGGGTTTAATCACTGACAGGAGAAAGCAGAGAGTCAGGCTGCAAAAGACCTGAGAGCTAATTCTGCGCATGTGTCACCAGCTGACTCAGAATTGAATTCCAGACACACATGGACACATGTGCATCATCATGGTACTCCCTAACTGAAAAGTTTGCCTGTTCTGAAAAAGACATAACAGAATTTGGGTAACACTTATCATTAGAAACACCTGCTAGTTAATTGCTTTGTGTCAAAGAAAACCAACCCATGTGTGAGAACACAGCCTGGAAAAATCATGGATAACATTCCCATTTTCATAGATCACAATGTAAATCACTGTAATTAAAAAAAAATTGGTGTTAAATCCTTTGGGTTATCCACTGCCTTAAAATTATGCTATTTCCTTTAAAAAGAGATATCGGTCAGAATTGGAGATTTTTAACAGTGGTCATTCTCAAAGCTGTGTTATTTTCCACAGAATATAGAATATATATTTTTTTCGTGTGTGTTTTTGTTAACGACGCTACAGATATTGAATGCACCTTGAGATAATTTAGTGTTTTTAACTGGTACATAATTTATCAAGCAGTACATGAAAGTGTAATAATAAAAATGTCTATGTATCTTTAGTTACATTCAAATTTGTAACTTTATAAACATGTTTTATGCTTGAGGAACTTTTTAAGGTGGTAGTATAAATGGAAACTTTTGAAGTAGACTGGATGTGGGCCCATAGCTACTTATGACTAGACTTTTAAACTTTGCTCTTTCAGGCAGAAGCCTAGCTTCTGGGAGTACGCTGTACAGCCATTTTTGTCCCAGGAGTTGCATTTCTTTAAGTAAAAAAATAAAAGAAAAAAATGAACATTAGGTTTCCAGATCAAACATATATGTTCTTTGAGAGAAAGATAGACGCTTGTGTTTGTTTTCTTGATTAACAGAATAAAACACAATGTAGGCAAGAAAGACAAATTAAAGAGGAAAATCATATTGAGGTTGAGATGACTATTTTGCCACTTCTGCATTATTTAGTAACACGTGATCGTGTGTATTTGTAACCATTTATTGTCTGAGCAATAGTGACTCAGTTTAATAAAAATCTTCTTGTAGTGCTCTGGTATGGATTAAACACATAAAATATGCTATTAGACTCAATGCTGTATAAACTATAAAAATATTATGGGAAAAAAAGAAAATGTGTCATTTTTGCCTCTAAACTTTAACTAAAGTTTTATTTGGCAGGAAAAAAAATTGAATCGTGGTCAATATTTAAACCAAAGTTAAAAGGGGAAAAACCAAAGTTCTTTTTTTGTTTTGTTTTGCTTGGCTAAGCCATTCTGTTATCTCTGTAAATACTGTGATTTCTTTCTTCCTTTTTTCTCTTTCTTTTCGCTTTAGAATTTTGTTAAAGAAATTCTAAAATTTTTAAACATCCATAATAAATCATGAACACTAAAATGAGATTATTTCCATATTCATATTTTTCTTGTTTTTTCTTTTGGTGTGGGAAATCAAAGGTTTTAAGTCGTACTCCTAAGATCTGTTTGCAAAAAGAAGCGACATGGCAGCAGAGAAAAAGGATCATACTACAGTTATGGATTGGCTTCCACTTGCAATGGTAATGACATGCAGAAAGCAAAAACAAAAGGGTAGGTGGAACTCTCAGACCTAGACAACAGAAGATGAGAAACCCAAAGCTCTGAACTGAGAGCAAAGAGTTTGCCAGGAAGAGGGAACAATGTGAATATCATTAACTCAATGCCTGGATAAAGAAGAGGCTTGCCAGTGTAACAGCAGCCAGATGCACCAGGACACTGGGTGGGCAAATCTTTTAGTCTGAGGTTTCGTCTCTCCAAGTTTACTCCTTGGCAGCAGGAAGCAGGTTTGAGCAGTTCAAGGTTCACTCCCTATATGTGATTATAAGAATTGTACGTGGAAATGGATTAACATACCCGTCTATGCCTAAAAGATAATAAAAATGAAATATGTCTTCACATAGATCTCTGGCTCACTGATGTCTGCTTCTTTTCTACTATACAATGACAAAGAGTAATAACCTCAATGTGATTGTCTACCCCTTTCAAAGAGGGATGTAGGAAAATATGAGGTCTTCCTAAGTCAGAAGGCCAAAATGGTCCCCTGACTCCACCAGGAGTGCTAGTGTACTGCATCTGTCTTTGGTGATAGGCTCACACTTCTGTGGGCACCTCGTATGACTGTTCCTGGAGTTTCGTTCAACTGATACTTTTGTATATCTCCAGCTCTGCTAATAACACCGCTAATATTTGGATTTGCATTTACCTTGGCATGAGTCTTCAAAGAGGCAGGCTCTATGTAATACAAAATCAAGTTAGCTAGGAACATCAGAAGTGCAAATTAAATTTCTGAACCCACTCAGTGTGCTAGGGACATTATGTAATCATTATCAGTTGTAAATAGTACTAAATATCCTCTCACTTTACAGCAGAAAAATCTGATATTTGGAGATCTTCCATAGGTCACTTGACTTTTCTTTTTTATAGTGCCGATCTTGGGGCTTGAACTCAGAGCCTGGGAACTGTCCCTGAAGTTTTGTACTCAAGACTAAAGATTGACCACTTGAACCACAGCTCCACTTCCAGATTTTTTGGTGGGTAATTGGCAATAAGAGTCCCATAGACTTTTCTTCTCAGCCTGGCTTTGGACAGTGATCTCAGATCTCAGTTTCCTGAGTAACTAGGATTACAGGCATGAGTCTCCAGGTCCTGCACTTGACTTTAACGTAGATAAGTTGAGTATCAAAGTAAATTTGTTCCTTTCCCTAATCTGTTATAGTTCTCAAAGTTTATCTAAAAATGCCTGGATACTGAAGAGAAAATGAATCTCTTTTTCCTAATAGACATGCTCTTTTTCCTAATAGACACATAAATTCATCATACCATGAAGAAAGATTTATTCCAAGATGGTTAAATCAAGTATAGGTCGATGTTGCATAATATTCTAACTGTAGGTGAATAGAATGTATTAGATGTTTTATTAGAATACACATATATTTGACATCATATTTAAAACACGTTTAAAATCAGGTGCTGATAGCTCATGCCTATAATTATAACTACTCAGAAGGCTGAGATCTGAGGTCACAGTTCAAAGCCTGCCAGGGCAGAAAAGTCTGTGAGACTCTTATATCTAATTTACCACCCAAAAGAGCCAGAAGTGAATCTATGGCTCAAGTTGTAGAGGACTAGCCTGGTACACAAAAACTCATGAACTATAAACATAGTTGAATGTTGAGTTCAAGCTCCAGGCCTGCTACAGAGAAGAGAAACACAGACACATTTTAATATGATAGAGACAGTCTATTGAGTGTCTAAGATAAGATAGACACAACAATGACATATTACTTAAATTCATTCCTTGATTTTTCTCTTCAGTATCCTAGCAGAGAAGATACTATCCTTGTTTCACTGACAAATACGTTCCACATAAACTCTGATTCAGTTAAAGGTACAGTAAAGGGAGAATCAGCTGGAATTTCTGGTCTAGATTCCAAAGATGTTACTGCTCACTTTAGGGTTTATCAACCATTCCTGTTTAAAAGACATACAGCTCTCACAGACCTTAGGAAGACTTCCAAAGAGAAGCATTACAGAACCTATTTGTTTCTCTAGTAATTAAAGATATTCATATTCAAAGCAATGTGACAATCAATGAGAAATAAATGACAATTACTTTGAAAACAATATTATTTAAGGATCTTCATTGCTTTTTATCCTATGCAATGAATCAAATGCAAATTAATGCTCTCATTTAAAAAAATAAGAGAAGACTGGCTCTGTAAAAGAATCAGACTTTCACATAGAAAATACTTCAGTTAAATATAGAATAAGAATTTTTCATCTAAGCTTTTAATAAAAAAATTAAAAATACGTTTCACTAGGGAAAGCTGAAGCAAGAATTTTGGCACATTCTGTCTTCACCTATTCACCATCCTCATTTCTATGTCTTTTTTAAAACAAATTTTTGTTTTCCCATTTTATCCTAATAAATGTTTCCATATATAAAATATTCATTAGAAAGCCAGTACATGGGCCTGTGACACCCAAAAGCAAATTCCATTCTCAACTCTCTTGTCTTCTGTCTTGTTGTTAGCATCCTATGGAAAAGGTTTTACTTTGCAATAGCCAAACCAGAGATCATGAGACTACATCTTCAATTATATATGCAAAAGGCTAGGATACTCATACACATGCAAACACACACAAACAGTGGGACACAGGAGGACCTTCCATCCATCCATTTTCCTGGTGAGTAAGATATAGAGTTGCATACCGCTAAATAGTTTGAAGGTCTACAAGGTAGAAGAGATTATAATAGCTATGATTTTTTATAGGAGACATTCATAAGCCTAGCAAACTTGTACTTATGCCAGGGTACATGAGACCCAGTAGTTGCAATGAAATCTGTGGAAATAAATGTTAACAGTTAGAAGCTCTACCAAGAAACAATGAGGGTTTCAACGTCATAGAGACTCAAACAAGTCTTAAATCCTTTTAGAAATGTTGACTTTTGGGAAAGCAGCAGCAGTGGTTTCTAGAAGGCCTAGATTTTTTTTCTTTAATCTTTTTTTAAATTAATTTATTTATTTTTTATTTGTGAACATACTGTACAGAGGGGTTACAATTACATGGGCAGGATAATGCGTACATTTCTTACCAAGCATTGCAGCCTCCTCCTTTGGTTTACCCTTCACATCCCTTCCCAGCCTCCCCCCTCCCCCCCAATCCCAACCCTTCTCCTCCCCCCTTCCCCCCCCCCCGACCGACGTTGTAAAGCTCGTTTTGGACATGACAACTTATACTTCTCGTTGTTGCATCAGGTCCACCTTTATCCTTAAACAACTGTTTTTTCCCCCTCTCCTCCACAAATTATACTGACATCAAATATAGTGAAAGCAGGGGTTATACTGTGGGGGAGGGACATACAAAGCAACAAAGAGATAGTCTTATAAATGCATTAGAAATACATGCATGAAAGAAAAAACATTAAAATACATGTCTAAGGGTTCATTTTCCTGACATCGCATTATCTGACCTTTTCCGCTTGACTCATACATATACTAGATATTACAAATAAGGGAAACCATGGGACCTATGTTTCTTTGGGCTTGGCTTACTTCACTTAATATAATTTTTTCCAAGTTTTTCCATTTCCTAACAAATGTGGCAATGTCATTCTTTCTGATGGAGGCATAGAATTCCATTGTGTATATATACCACATTTTCTTGATCCATTCATCTACTGAGGGGCATCTGGGTTGGTTCCATATCTTAGCTATGGTAAATAATGCTGCAATGAACATAGTTGTGCTGGTAGCTTTAGTGTGGTCTTGTTTGTAAACATTTGGGTAAATGCCCAAAAGTGGGATTGCTGGGTCATAGGGGAGCTCTATGTGAAGTCTTTTGAGGAACCTCCATACTGCTTTCCAAAGTGGTTGAACAAGTTTACATTCCCACCAACAATGAAGTAAGGTCCCTTTTGGCCAAAACCCCCCCAACAACCGGTGGTTTTAAAAGTCTTGATTTTTGCCGTTCTAACTGGAGTGAGGTGGTATCTCAATGTTGTTTTGATTTGCATTTCTTTTATGGCTAGGGATGTTGAACATTTCTTCATGTGTCTATTGGCCATCCTTCTTTCTTCTTCAGAGAAGTTTCTCTTTAAGCCTTCAACCACTTGTTTATTGGGCAGTTGTTTCTTTGAGGATTTGTTGTTGGAGGGTTTAATTTTTTGAGTTCCAAGTATATTTTAGATATGAGACCCTTGTCTGTTGTATGGCTAGTAAAGATCTTCCCCAATCCGTGGGCTTAGAAAGCCTAGCTTTTGATAAAAAATGTTTTAAGGAGCTATCACTATTCAGTTTAGACTATTTGGGAGCTAAGTAATAAAAATGAAATTTCAAATGCCCTCATAAATATTTTTCCCTGATTCTACTATTCCAGGTAGGTCAGGTTAGGATAAATAGAATTTCAATTAGTTTAAATTGATTCACAAAACACCTAGGAATTTCACTTCCACTGAAAGTAGCAGTTGAAATTCAGATCCTGTATCATTCTTTGGATTTCACCAATATCGGAACCGCATTGTTAGTTAAATAGAATCTGGTTACTGCTTGAATTGATTCACACTACTCTCATGGAAATCAATTATTAAGGCAATGGAATAGTTCTGTTAGGGTAAGACAGTCATTCCTTGGATGCTAAATTATTACTGAAAACTAAGTTTATTCTGATATTTTGGACTTCAACGAGTGCTGATACTAATACTTTATTTCTTGTTTGATTACAATGATCTGCCACCAACTTTAAAATAACTTTTGTGAGAAATGACACTACACATTTATATATTTGATTATAGTAAAGCATTTATAGCTTTTCTTAATTTTATTATAACATTTTTAATTATTTTTCATTTGTATCATGAATGGTTTCACTGTGATATTCCCATACATGAGCACAGTGTTCTTTCAACAAATTATCCCTCACCTACATTTTAATCCAATGGGAAAATTATATGGTCGAAAGCAAAGTCAAACAGATTTTGCCACAGTAGTTTGTGTTTCATTTCAGAAATTAAAGACCAGAGGTTTAGAAAGTTAGATCAAGTTTTTGAGGTTTGTGAGGGTAAATACAGGGAGCTATTCAACCATAATTTGGATCTCCTAATCCGCTTGAGTTTCCAGATGTAAATATGAGTCTCTAACCTGAATGTAAGACCTTTGTGCACATTGTCATCACTAGTCCATACAACTTTGGTTTTGTTTTGGGCTAACATTTCCTTCTTAAACGACTACAGTATAATTCCCTCCCCTCTATCCATCTCTATGCAGGGGTCAGAAGATGACCCTCAATACTTTTTAAAAATATATCCTACCTAAATCTTTTAAGACCTAATTTTTTAAATCATTGCAGTTGTCAAAATTATGACAGTTCTTCCTTCAGAAAGGTCATAGCATGTTTTTC